AGCCCGCCGGGCGGGTGCTGTGAGCCGGCCGGGGCCGCGCGCCGCGTCGCTGTAATCGGACACCCGAGCGCTTTCCCCCCGCTCCCTACCCGGGCCGGCCACTTTCCATTCACTCCGAGGTGCTTGATTGAGCGACGCGGAGAGGGGCTCCGGGTGCCACAGCGCTGCTACGCTGAGGATTCCTTTACAAAGAAATTCAGAAGACCAGGAAAAATTTCACCACTGGGACGCTCTAGAAATTAAGGTCTTCTGGGAAAAGGACTAGAGACACACGCGGAGCCAAACCGGTAGCAAATTGATTTTTCCGTACTGATTTCTCCCCACCTCGGTAAGCTGGATTCCTTATTTTCGGCATGACAAATTTAGCAAAATTTAACTTTTGGGTCTGTCTGTCGACTTTTCACACATCGCTGTGTTCAAATCTGGACGTTTTCTTAAGAACACATTTAGTTTGTCCGGGAACTGTTTTCCTTACTGAGAGCCCGGTCTGAGTTGTTTCTTTAGACTATGACACCTGCGGAGTGTTTAAATTTCAGTATTTCAATGACTTCTAAGGCAAAATTGCTAGAGAGGACATAAAAGAATCCTTTTTCTTACATGTTATTCGTGTTTCGATAAGTGAAAACAACAAACAGCATGTATAAGTATCTGAGATAATAGGAAGAAGTTATAAAAATGGGAGGAGGCACGTGTAAGATACTTGGCTTTGAGTCACTTCTCTCTGAGTAGGCTTAAAATCACATTGCACTGCATACTCGCTTCATTTGACCTGTCATTTCATCTCCGGTATTATTCTTTGCAAATTGTGACGTGACTCTTTTGGGGAGACATACCAAATAAAAAACTGATAATAGCAATATGTAAAAATATGTGAATAGTATTTGCCCCTTAATGGAGAGACAAAGGTTAGGCATATTTATTTATTTTATTTTTTACTAGTCAACAAGAGAGCAAATTACTAAGGGAAAGTCACCCCATAAAATCAATTATCTTCTAAGTTAATTTAGGGATGACAGGGTGAAGAGGTTGTGGAAGCAGGAAGAAACTGTTTCTTTTGAAAATTACCAACACAAACATCTCTAGGGTTTCCTCCATCTGTGTGGTAAAAGAGGCATATGATTTTGTTTCTGACTCTCATAATATATGTACCACCTAGGAAATCAACTTATAATTTTTGTTTAAAATGAAATGTTCCATTTAATTGTTCTTTTTCTTCTGTATTGACGAAGCAGTCTTTTTAATTTTTAGTGGCATTTCTTTATTGAATAAAATTAGTGATAAGATTTTAATTTTAAAAGCCACATAATATTGAAGATCAGAATTATTGTAATCTCCAAAAATCAATCTCTAGATTAAACTGTGTCATGTCATTTTAGTGTATAATTATGGTAGACTCAAAATGATGGAATTATTTTTTTATTTTTTATTTTTTTATGGTCCTGAGTTTATTTTGCATGTTGTGGCCACTGGAGCTCTTATAGATCTGTAGTTATATATTACCTGATCTTCCTTGGAATTTAGACATTAGTTAATAGCATGTATCAATTTTATACCCACAGTTCAAATAGTAATACTTACCTCTGATTTATCTTTTGGAATTTTGACAGCCACTTTCTGGTTGATTTATTTTAAATATGCATTGAGGGGTACATGGTTCACTGGACTGCTCACCACTAGGTCACTGGTTTGAATTTGGCAGGAGTCCATGGTTACCTCATCTTTATCAGTTAACAGCTGCATGGTCATCTGTATAAATTGGCTGATCACTGATTCAAGTGATTTTCGTGTTCAAGGATTGAGCACATGTAGATTTATGTAGAGACACCGTTTCAGAGACTATTACTCCAAAAGAGCAAATGAGTATATAAGTGAATGAGTACACATAAATGTTCATCTAGGATTTTTCTACTACTATGGTATTTATGGTAGAAAGAGATGTTTTTCATCCACTAATACCTATTGGTATCATTCTCAAGTCATTTAAATGTAATATGATTTTTAGAGAGAAGATCAAGTTTAAATACAGGATTTTCTTTGGGAATCAATAACTTTTTCCTCCCCACTTAGTTCTGCTTTAAAGTTAGCATTATTTTCTGGAAAATGAAATAGTTTCTCTTTTGCAAAGACGTCCAGACTAAATGATTCAAATCGGAATTTTTGCATCTAAGAAGTAAAGTCACAGCACCTCCTACTGTTTGCATGACTATAAATGTTCAGAAATGTCTTGTAAATAGGGTGCTCTGTCTAGATTGCTGGTTTTGTGTATGTATGTGTGTGTGTGTGGGGGGGTGTTCTCCTGAAATGTGAACTGAAATATAAGAAACTTATCTTTCTTTTAAAGGTATTTTTCCTTGGATATTAACTTGAAAATCTGCAGAAATGGCATTCCAGGCAATTGGCGTGTTGGTTGGAGTATTTGTTTGTTCTATCTGTGTAAAAGGATCTTCTCAGCCCCAAGCAAGAGTTTATTTAACATTTGATGGTAAGAAAGTTGATTAATACTCTGGGAAAATTTTTATTTATTTATTTTTTTGCAGATTTCTTATCCAGATTCAAAAATTAAAGATAGTAAAGTATTATTGAGTATTAATTAATTTTTAAAATATTTACTGGACTGCTTTTTTAGATGACATGGCTATTTCAAATTATTGGTTAATAGACAAAAACCGTCTATTGTGTTTGTTTACAAAAATGCTTGAAGTATATTCCGCCATTCTTAAAGTTTCTTCTGTGTTTGCATGTGTGTGCCTAGGGGAGATGGTGAAGAAGTCAAAGCCTAGGATTTCTGATCTTAATATTCACCTGGTATAGTCGAGAAACACACCCTATTTGCTAATCCTCATCAGTAGAAGGAGCTATGCAAGTTTAATTACTGAAAAATTTTTCTAATAAATTGTGGGCCTTAGCTTCAAAACTGGTCTCTCCATATGTTGTTCTAATGATGTTTCTTCTATTTCCACAATGAGTGCCTGAGGTTGGCAAAGTCTCCTAATTAATTGAAAAGGAACTACAAGAATAGTTGGAAAAATGCTTTTGATTGTTGTTTACAGATGTTATCTCAGAAGCTTTGGGAAGTAGGTATGATTTCAAATTTTCACAAACATAGAAGGCGTAAGGTCCTCTGAGGGAGTAGTTTGCCAAACATAAGTGTGAACTTTAATGTGTATAGTTCAAACGACTTACAGATGAATGATTTCAGTCGTTAACATAACCCAGACTAATTGGACAGATGGAATAAGAAATCAATCAGCAAGATCATTCTGCCAATTAGGGTTATTTATATTTTTATTCTTTCTACTCTGTCTCTGCTTAAATCTCAGTGATATTGGGCATATTTTCACATGAGAAACAATATACTCTAAGACTTTCCTATAGCAGGATATCTTTGAAACTATGTTATCTTGAATTTCAAACAGCAGTATGACTGACACTTATCAGTCAAATGGCTGGCTGGCTTTTTCCTTCCTTCCTTCCTTCCTTCCTTTTTTCTTTCCTTCCATGCCTATTAAGTAAATAAATAAATAAGCATATATGTATATAAACATTGAAATAAGAGTAATTAAGACTTACTTCCATTAAATTTTATCCTCAGATTTAAATCATCAAATTTATACCAACTATTTTATCTAATCTACTAATTGTTTTATTAAAAATACATTTCCCTACCCTCCCCTCCCCTTCCCTACCCTCTCCCTTCCCTTCCCTTCCCTTCCCTTTCCTTCCCTCTCTTTTTTTCTTCTTTCAAGTCATCAAGTGCTTTCTCCAAGGTCATCATAAAACCTGGAGGAACCTTATTTAGAACTTAGACTGTGTGAGCTTCTAATTGCTTCCTTAGCTTCTAAGCCAGGTATTCCCCTTAAAACCCATGGCAATCCAGTTTAGTTGTGAACAAAGAAAAAAATTAGACCCTTTGTAGTGTCCTTTTAAATTTTTAAATTACTAAAGCATCTTGCAGTCTGCTTACAACTTTTCTCCTCAGTTGAGAACTGTGAAATATCTAATCAGATATAAAAAGAAAGGCATTAAGGAGCAGTACAATTTCCGTCCTTTTTTCTATATTTCTTTCTGTGTATAGGAAGATGGAGTGGTCTCATAGAATGTCTCTAAACATATTCTCTCTATTACATCAAAACTAACCAAACTTTTTAAAGCTTGAACTTAAACCCAGATATGTAAATGTTAAAAACAAGTATGTCACCAGAAGTAATTTATCAAGTCTATATTTTAAGAAACAATTAAAATTTGTCTTTTACAGAGGAAATTCAGTAATACAGTCTTTTAAAACCAAACTTCATAACTATATAGAGTGGTAACTATGTATAGAGTGAGTAAAAGTTATAATAGGCTTTTTAAAATACTACATCTCTAATATTTTAAAAGCTCTCAAACTCAAAGCAGATTCTTGTAGAATAAGACTTACCTTTAATTTACAACATATGTAGAATACAGCATGGTAAAATAAGCTATTGACCTGAAAGTTTTATAATTCCTGATATTGCATTCTTCCCAAGAGTCTTAATAGGAAATAATCATAGAGATAAAGTATCACTTAATTTGGATACCATTTGAAAGAATATATCAACAGAGAGAATAAACTTAATGAAATTCCACAATTTCTAAATTGCTACCAAAAATCTCGTAAAATGAACCACATATTAGGCAAAGTATCATTGGAAAAGTACCTTGGGCAAAAGCAATTATTAAAATGTATAAATTTTAATCATAAATGTATAATCATTTTCTTAAGAGATTTGACAGTATACTGTAAAATCTTGAGATTTTACAGATGCCTGCTCCAAATTTCTTAGTATTTAGTTTCCCATTGATTTTATGATGACTTATCTGAGTATAACAATGAGTAGTTTACTAAATTTCTTCCAAAATGATTTAGTCTTGACATCAAAATATAGAACTTTTTATAGTGTTGACATATATATGAATATATATCAATTTAAATACATAGGGATATATACTTTCTTTCATTTATTTCATATCTCAAAATTCCTCTACTTCATAACCAAAAAATCAGAAATTGGAAGATGCTTTTCAGGAAATTCAAATAATTTCAAGTTACATCAGGCAGAGGTCTTTTGCATTTTTATAGTCTCTCTCATCCCTTGCCTTCTGGCTCTTTTGTCTTGAAATCTTCCCTATAGTCTGGTCCTCTGCCTGTCTCTTTCTGGGGGGAAATTTAGGAGAATCCTCTCAGTCTTGTCTTATTCACAATCCAGTTGATAATCACTTTTGATTTAAAGGTGTGTGAAAGAAGACATCCCTTTTCTCATCCAAGTTCTATCCCTTCTTCTTGTGGTGGAAAGATAGAGTGATAACATTTAAGAAACAATGGTTTACAGATTAGTCTCTATTGGTCTAGTGCAAGCTTAACCAGATGATCATTAGTCTTATGGGAAAATGTACTTCAGATGTTATTAATCAGTTACATTTGTGCTAGCTAAATTTTGCATGTTAAGAGAACTGTGACTCTTATTAGATATTAGATTTTATAATTTTTATAATTCTACTTTTATACCAAACAGCTTTTTAAACGAGTATAAAGTTCATGCAGATGCTTTTTGTTTCAGTTGAAAACAAATTCAATAGTTTAACAGGTTCACATTTTATAGCATTGTTGCCACTGTATTTTTTTTTGCCCCAAAAATCTTTTGAATCTATAAAGGTCATAAGGAAAGTCAAGGCTACATATCTACAATAGACAAAACTGGTTTCACTTGCTAATATACAAGAGAAATCATTGTTGAAAAGATTCTACCTTTATCCAGCAAAGATTTTAGCATGTAGTATTTTATAAATCAGGAATAAATATTAAGGATAGCAGTTGTATTTTTAATAAAGAGTTCTGAGCTTCAGAAAAATGGATATATCTATATTTGAATATATATAAAATATGATTAGAGTTAGATGTGTTAAATATGTTCTGTTTTAAAATGAGATAGATTCTTATAATAAGATTACTTTCTCACCTAATAATTCAGATTTTGAATCTAAGATGTTCAATTTATTGGCAGTTATTCATATTACCTTATTGTCCTCGCTGTGTCTGTAGGATCTGTAGTAATGTTCTTTATTTCATTTCTGATATTGATGATTTGTATCTACCTCATATGTTTTGACTGATCTGTTTAAAGATAATATTTTTCTAATTTTTAATCTTGTTAAACAATTAACTTTTACTTTCATTTTTCTGTTTAATATTTCCTTGATTTATACTCCAAAATTCAGTTATCTTTTTTCTTATTGCTTTGTGTTTTATTTGCTCTTTATTTATTTATTTTTTAATTCTTAGTGTAGAAACTTAGGTCACTGATTTGAGAATTTTTTTTCTAATATAAGCAGTTATGCAGTTATACTATAAATTTCCTTTGAAATCCTGCTTTAGCAGTGCCCCACACATTTTGATCAAATATGTTTTGATTTTCAGTCTGTTGAAAACATCTTCTAATTCATCCAGTTATGTTTTACCCATGGGTTATTTAGGAATATGTAGTGTGATTTACAAATATTTGGTATTTTTTCTATAGCTCTCTATGATAGATCTGAGGTTTAATTTCTTGTCGTGAAAGAACATACATCATGTGCTTCTAATTCTTTAAAATTCATTTAAATTTATTTTATGATGTGGAATATAGACTATATGGAAAAAAATGTTTATTCTGCTTTTGCTACATAGAGGGTTTTAATGACAATTAGTCGATGGTTGTTATGTTTTTCATATCCTTATTTATTTTCTCTCTACTTATTCTTTCAATTTCTGACAGAAGTTGAACTCTTCAACTGTAATTATGGATTCGTCTGTTTCTCTTTTCAGTTCTAGCAGATTTTCTTCATTTTTTTTGAATTCCTCTTATTAGGTACTGACATATGTAGGGGTGTTTTTGCCTTTTTTTCATTATGAAATGACTCTTTTTCATTATGAAATAGTCCTGATTATAACCTGGTAATAACCTTTATTCAGAAATGTATTTTGTATGTACATAACGCTTTTTATCTTTTTTGTGTAATGAAAAATACCAACAAAATTTTACTTATAATAAAGTGGAGAAAATGTTTGTCATGATTCCAATGGCCTCTAGAAACTTTTTAATTAGAATACTAGGAAATATGTTTAAACAGACATATGTATTTTGTTCTATAATTGTATTAACGTTATATTGGCAGTGTGGTATACTGAGAATACCATTTACATGGAGACCAAAATACCGAGGTTTTAGTCCTTGATACTTCGTTATTTGACTCTAAAACTTTGTCAGGACCTCAGTTCCCTGACCAGCTTAAAAAAAATTGGACTAAATTATCTCTAAGACCCCTGTTGTCCTAAAATTATATGATATTAAACTGTTTTGTTATATAAATATCACCTCATTTGTGAAAGTCTTCTATAATAATTACCTTTAATGCTTTTGAGAACATTTTGTGAAAAGAGAAGAACAAAGCTAATAAACCATTTAAAAAAATCCATGGATT